CCGATGCGTCGGGTTGCTCGCGGCGGGAGCGAGCGCCCCGAACGCAAGCTATTGAAATTTTCGTGTCGCTTCGACCATGTTCGGCAGGGTACGTAATTCTAAAAATAAACCCCCCCTCCCATTTTCAAACAAAAAAAGAAGAAAAAAGTGCGCTATGGAAAGGCGCAGTGGACAATTTAAATAAAGGAAATTCGTGCGTTCGCACAGTATCACTCCGCTGCGCAATTTGTTCGTGACGCACCATTCGCCGCACGGATTCTTAACAGTGGAGACGCGGCAAGGTGTGGACGCACCTGAAGGGTTCACACTGCACAAACATGACAAAACAATTTTCTTTGATGTACCGACAAGTTGCGTAACATTGCTCGCCATGTTTGTTTGTGTTCGTTGTGGCGCCACACTATGCTCGTTGGTGTTCGTTCTGGTACGTAATTCTTGCTTATTCACGTTCGATCCTTAGGTGTGGCCCACCTTAACAAAACAGTACGTCTCCCAGGCAATACGAATCGTATGTTTTTTTAATTCATCCGTACGCCCGAAATCGTGGACGAACAATCGTATCTGAACATACACACTCACTTACATTCATTTTTTCTAAGGTATTCCAAAATGTTCAGAAGGTATTGAAACGTAAAGAGATACGATTTTTTGCGATTACTATACTATAAATTATCCTACAAGAAATTAATAAATAAACTAGTTGGTATTGGTATTTTGCCTTGAGGCAAGTTACATGAACTTTCTGATATGTGTAAATAATCGACTTAATCAATAAAAAATAAATTAATTTATGAGTCATTAAAAGTATTCCGAGTGGATTTATTACACATCTTTGAAAACGAACGAACACGTTAACTCGGAGTATTTTCTAAAAGCAAATTTTCAAAAATCAACAATGCTTATAACTGAACCAATTTCCTTACGAGTTTAGTGGTCTAGTAGGTTCATTAAGTTCAACAACTCTATCGTTATACCAAGAAAATCGTCTAATTTTAAATTTAACGAATGCAGAAAAAAATACTTTTTTTCTCAAACTTTGATGAATTTTTAAAATTAAACTACTTGTCGTAAGGCCGTAATATATCAGTAAGTTCTATAAAACCATGATATATATCGCCAAAAAAGGTTTCATAAAAATCGGATTAAATTTTTTTTCAACAGTTAATTACAAGAAAACGACTCGGTAGATTTTCACTTAAAACTAATCAGTATCATTCCAAACCAATATCTTTCGAACAGCATTTAATTTTTTTAAATCGATTACAAAGAAAGGGCTTGGCAGATCATCGCACAAACTGTCAAACGATAGTCCTCATCGAGATACATCAAATGGCTTTCAAAATTTTGAAATCAATGCAGCTGTTTTGCGGCAAAAAATCTGTTCACACACACACATATACTTTTTCCAAATTTCGTCTCATTCGATTCAGAATGGCTTGAAACGTCGAGTAAACATAAAATTAGCAAATCAGATTTTTTTATGTAAGCATGAACTTCTCCTACGGGAAGTTAAAAAAAGATTATAATGAGTTTTGAATAAATTAAAAATAAAAGGCATTTCTACACTAATAAATATTTGTATTTAAACTTCTGAAAGATATAAAAATATCTTTCTCTTTATGTAACATCTTCGACTCTGGTAAATACAAAAAAAATTACAATATTATATTCAAAATCATTTAAACAATTACATTTACATAATATAAATTGAGAAAAAAAACATAATTGTTACTAAAGAAAATATAGAATGGCATTTCTGATAATATATATTAAGCAAATTAAAATGATTATAAGTATGGATTGTGATTTCAAATAATTGAAGTCACTTTTCTCACATTATAATTCTTCCACTTTACAAACTTACTTGACCAAATCACAAAGTGACAACTGGATCATATCATATCGCTTTGATTTCTTTTGCTTTTTTGATTGTTTTGACGTTTTTCGGAATGAACCACTTCATGCCGGTTTAATTTTTTTTTTGTTGTGATATTTCATACTATTTATACATTCCATTACATGCAAGAAAAATTAACAATATTTAAATGTAAGTATATATTTCATTGATCTCCACCACTCTTAAAACTATGAAGTGCCATGTGTCTCTTCAAATCCTTCGATTGAGTAAATTCCTTCTTACATACTTCACATTTATCAGGATGCTCTCGTTGATGAATCAGCTTGTGCCTTTTCAAATGACTTAATAGTTTGAATTTCTTATTGCATGTATTGCATTCATGAGAGCGTACTTCTTTGTGCATCAGCATGTGACTTTTCAGACCTTTTGATTGCGTGTATGTCTTGTTGCATACATTGCATTCATAGGAACGTACTCCACTATGTATCAGCATGTGACTTTTCAGATTACCTAATAGTGCGAATGCCTTATTGCATATTCTGCATTCATGGGGACGTACTCCACTATGCACTACCATGTGATTTTTTAAACTACTTGATTGCGTGAATGTTTTTTTGCATATATTGCATTCATGCAGTTTTACTCCACTGTGTATCAGCTTGTGACTTTTCAGATTACCTAATTCTGTGAATGTCTTATTGCATATATCGCATTCATGAGGACGTACTCCACTGTGTCTCAGTATGTGTTTTTTCAGATTACTTCTTTCTGTAAATGTCTTTTTGCATATATTGCATTCATGGGCATGTACTCCAGTGTGAATGAGCATGTGTCTTTTCAGACTACCTGTTTGTGTGAATGTCTTCTTGCATATATTGCATTCATGGGCGTGTTGTACTCCAGTGTGAATGAGCATGTGTCTTTTCAGACTACCTGTTTGCGTGAATGTCTTCTTGCATATATTGCATTGATGGGGGAGCCCACCACTGTGAATGAGCATGTGTCTTTTCAGAACACTTAATCGATCAAAAGTTTTGTAACAGATTTCACATTTGAAATGACTTTCTTTGCTATTATTGGAAAAATGATGGGCCATATGCTCTTTTAAATGATTTGATTCTGCAAATGATCTATTGCAAACGTCACATTCATAAGTTAATGTCTCGACTAACTCCTGTTTGACTTCTTCTTCGATTGTTACCTCGGAATTCATAAATCTTTCTAAACACGTATCATTATCTTCAGAACACGATTCAGATTTAACAATAACATCGGGTTTGTCAAAATCATCCTCCATTTCGAGTTTAATGTCTTCTGGTGAATATTGTGGTGGTTCAATTTTAATTGCCTGATCAATCATAGACATAATTGTTTCCTCCGACATTTTTATATTTTCACTGCTTATACTCAGAAAAAAATAACGAAAATAGTTGTGTGCTAAATAATAGTGTAGTTTAAGCAATAATTATTTTCAATATGATAAATGATTTCAACATTAATTTACATTTATTATTTGACATTTGAAGCATAGAGAGCACATAGAGTTTGTTTGTAGCAGTAGAGAGAGTAGAAACATAGAGAACCATATAGGGAACGGGCAAGCTCTCCTCTAGCGGATTTTAAGTGCAAATTGGTGCCCAACAAATATGGCGGATGGCGGATGACACGTTTATGAGTTGAATTTGCTGTCAACTAATATTTGTTTTGATGTAAAACGTGCATTTTTAGGTTAGACATTTGCTGTAATTCATATTTCTTACATATTCTCTCATTTATCTTTTATGATTTTACAATAACAGAGGTAAGAATAATGAAATTCAAAATATAATTTTTGTTTGTTACTACCAATATGCATACTTTTTAGTCAGGAAGGATATTCAATCAGAAAAATATGAAGAAAGTTCAAAGTTTGAAGAGGCTTTAGTAAATTAAATCAATATTTGCTTAAATGATCATATTTACATGCATAAAAGTATTATTAAAAATCCATTTGTGAGTTTGATTCTTATAAAACACAAATCATGAAAGTTAGAAATTGGTCATATTGCTTTAGGTTTTACTTTTTAGATTCATTCGTTGGTAGTTTCCAGGGTATTTGAAAGTAGGTTTTTATTTATTGCACTCCAGATGGCTTTATTTCATTTGTTAATAATGTGGGCTTAAGCAGAATCCCTCCTACCCAAATTAATGTACTCTCGGGCATATTAAAAAAAAAGTAAAATCCGGAGGTGCTGTATTAACTGACAAAGGTAAATTCATGAGTAAAAAAGACAAAGTTTTTAATTGTTTTTCATAGTCAGGATTTTCATCAATATGGACTGAGTTAGACAAATTGATAAATATAGCAGTACTTGTGCATACGCTATTTGTTTAAAATTAAATTTAAAATAGATTACTTTCACCAGGAGATATAAATTAAACTCATTTTGAAGCTAGTGTGCATATACATGTAGAATGAGTCATACACAGAATCCACACTATGCTGTTGCCGTTCGTTCTGGTGCGTTCATTTATGTTCGTTCGTTAGGTGTGGACGCACCTTCAACGTCAGACCAAAAAACAAAAAAATGTGGTGAATGTGGTTTACCAAAGAGCACTTCAATGAAACGGATTTTTTGCGGATTCACTTTCATTTACTTAGAGAAGTTCAACTGAAAAACACTTCATTTTTGTAATCGAAATAAATTCATTACTGTTGTATAATAAAATCAAATTTTTTCTTTTCAAATTTAAAACAAACAAAAAATTTCTTCATATTTCTCACGAAACCATCTGGTGGCGAAACGGAGTTCGTCGGGTTTGCTAGTATGTATGTATATATATATATATATATATATGCTCCAAAAATAGAACTAGTAGTTTGTATGGCATCGTGCCATACAAACCCTCTAACCCGGAAGATTACTTTGAAGTAATCTTCATGTTTTGCTTTTTTTATAACCATGTGACAACATAATCACATGCAAATAAGCATGAACTTGTCCCTCGTACTTTATTTGACATTTCTTCTTCAGACACCAACATCATTTGAAGTATAGTTTGGCTTCTATAGTCATAAGAGTGTGAGCTTTCGAGAAGGAAGCTTCAAATTTAGTGAAAAAAAAAATTGTGTTTTTTGTGCCACATATTTCTTGAACCAATCATTATTTCGACATCGGAATTTTTTAATTTTGTTAGTAAGTATTACCCCTTTCAATTATTATATATTTCATTGTGAAAAAAATTTTTTTTCGGTATTTTGAAGGGAAAAACAGAGGTTACTTCAAAGTAATCTTGCCGGATTTAGTGATTTTCTTCGCCCAACGCGTTTTTACCGTTTATCGCACCTTTTCTTGTTTATCTCTCTTTTGTTACGTGAAAAACGTGTTGGGGTCGATTTTTTTTAATGCAATAAGATGGTGCACCATTTGCGGCAGTATATGCCCAATAAGCCACACAAATGGGGCATGAAATTATTCGTTCTATATGACTCATCTGGATTTGATTATCGGTTCGAAGTTCACAATGGCGCTGGAGACAACAAACTCCAAATCCTGGTGCTTCGGCGAATGTTGTCATGCGATTGTCTCAAACCATCCCGGATATGGCAAATCACATTGTATACTTCGACAACTTTTATACAAGTTTGCCTCTGTTGGTGTATTTGCGCGCTCGTGGAATTTTCAGTCTTGGTACGATACGAGTGAACAGAGTGCCTGGTTGTAAGCTTAGTTTGGAAACAGCCATCAAAGATAAACCAAGAGGATATTCTGAGGTATATGTGGCATCCTCATATGGCTGACTACTGTATTGTGGAAAGACAACAAAGTCGTTCGTTTGGCATCGACGTATGTTGGTGTGAAACCATTTCAAACCAGTTTGACAAATCCAACCAAACAACCACGAAAAGCCAGCCGACTTGTTCGCAAGCAAGGCCGCATTGACATCGATTGCCCCGAAATCATTGGCGAATATAACAAACATATGGGCGGCGTGGACTTGATGGATGGCTTGATGGGCCGCTATCATATTCGCGCAAAAACTCGTGATGCAGCAACTCATTTGTTGTACCATTTTATTGACATGGCTGCCACCAACGCATACATACTCTATCGCCGAATACACCGAAAGAAAGTGCACGATTCGCCTGATGAGAATGACCCCAGCGAAAAATTGTTTACATTGTCACAATTTCGTAGAAATATTGCTGCTGGCCTTGTGAACTACAACTTCAAGCGCCAAGTTGGTCGTCCATCATCCAGACTTGCTTCAAGCGATTCTCGGCCATCAACTCCAGAGGTGATTCCAGGTTCTTTTCCTGTTGGAAGACGTGCGGTGCATCCAGTGGACGACACTCGTTTTGACTGTATGGATCAATGGACAGAAAAACGTGTTACGTGCAAACTCTGTGCCCAAAACAAAACAAAGGCGCTAACTATGTGCATTTGCTCCAAATGTAATATAGCTTTAAGGGCAAAAATTGTTTCGTAGAATATCATAACAAAAAATAATTAATTTTTACTACATTCCATTGTTCTTTCATTCACTTTTTTCAATAAATACCATACAGAATAAAAATATCTACCTGTATCAAATTTTTCACTAAACCCGTCAAGATTACTTTGAAGTAATCTTTACCTTTTTGTACCTGGTAGCTAAACGGTAAGTCAAAATGAAAATCTAATGATGCAGAAGTGTTTGTTATCGTCAAATTAGTCTAGAAAAAATTGTTCTGACTTTTTTTACTGGCTCTATCAAAAACTCGGGTTAGAGGGTTAAGGCAAATTGATGGAACTTCCCGTACCGTAACAAAATGTTCGAGGAATATTAAATGTTTTCAAATAAATTAGATTAATATAAACACTGCAAGATTATTTATAAGAATTATATAAACTGAATTGCAAAGTTTAAATTATTTATTTAAAGTATATAAGTGAGATTTAGAAAGTTCTAAGCCAGAATTAAAATTAAAAACCCAATTATTTACGATAAACAAAACAAAATTTTGGAAAAATTAATTAAATTTTGAGAAAAAATGAAAAAAAGCCCCAAACGCAATTGTTTTATTAACACAAGCAGAATCATTTGAATTTGAATCATTCAAATCGGATGCTTAGTTTTTTCAAAAACTGCATTTTTTTGCGTATTTGGCTCTGAATCTCCGAAACGGCTGGACCAAATCTTTACCCGATCATTACGAATTGAATGTTTTTTGGATCATTCAAATCGGATACTCCGTTCTCTCAAAAACTCAATTTTTATTTTCTGCAATCTTTGCTTTTTATCCCCGAAACGGCTCGACCTTTTTTGCTAAAAACTAATCAGGATATAATAAAAAAAATTCAGTTTTTGTGAGAACGGAGTATCCGATTTGAATGATCCAAAATCCTTTCAATTTATAATGATCGTGAGAAGTGGTGATTGGTTTTTGGCAAAGGCAAGTTGAGCCGTTTTGGAGATACATAGCTAAATGTACAAAAAATGGCAGTTTGTGCAAGTCATTCTTTCGGATGCTTTTCAAAAACCGCATTTTTTTGCTTATTTTACTATGTTTCTCCGAAACGGCGGGACCTGTCTTTGTCAAAAACTAATCAACACTTCTCCCCATAATTACGAATTGAATGTTTTTGAATCATTCAAATCAGATGCTCCGCGCTCTCAAAAACTCGATTTCTATTATCTGCAGCGAAATGGACTTGTCTTTGCCAAAAATTGATCAGCACGTCCTCCCGTCAGTAGGAATCGAATGTTTTTTTGAACTATTCATATCGGTTGATTCGTGCGCCCAAAAACGTGAACGAAAAATTGTATTTACACAAAAAACACACACAAACACATCCATTTTTTCTGAGGTATGCATGAGGTATGCTAAAATGTTCAGAAAACTTCAAAATGTGAAGAAATGCTAAAATGTTCATTCTCGATTTTTGGACTATTACAAAAATTAACCCTTCGGGAAGCTAATTATAACATCAACATTAAAAAAAAAATATTTGAATTTTTTTTATTAACTTTCCGTAGGGTAAGTTATAGTAATGGGTCGAAAATCGAAAATGAAAATTTTTGCATATCTTTACGTTTCAGGGGTTTCTAAACATTTTGACATGACAGAAAAATAGATGTGTGTATGTGTGGAGACAATATTCCGTCGATGATTTCGGGCGTACGGATGGACCGACTTAAAAAATTCAAAAAGCAATCGATTCCTGTTGATAGGGAGATGTGCTGATTAGATTAATGATCTAAAAAAAGGTTGATTTGTAATGATGGGGAAAAGCGTTGATTAGTTTTTGACAAAGGCAGGTCCAGCCATTTCGGAGATACTGAGCTAAATGTGCAACAAATGGCAGTTTTTGAGAGTACTAAGCATCCGATTTTGAATGATTTAAAAAAACTTTCTGCTTGATTAAACAATGTAATTGCTTTTGGAAAAAAATCTATTTCAATTTTTTTCTTTTTTTTGTTTATCGACAATAATTCAGATTTTAATTTTAATTCTGACTAAATTTCTCATATACTTTAAAAAAAAAAATTTAAACTCTGGAATTCAGTTTATATAATTCTTATAAATATTAGACAATGTTACAATATTTATAATAATCTATTTGAAAACATTCAGTATTCCTCGAACATTTTGTTAAGGTACGGAAAGTTCCAGCAATTTGTTTTGAGGCACGATGCCTTTACGGTATTTATAAATTCGGAAAAGTATTCTAAAATATTAAAATAAAATCTATCTTTTGTTTAGAAATTATATAATCTATGATTCTATATTTTGCCGCCAATAAAGTCAAGTTTGTTTTAATGTTTTCTATGTTGTCGAACCTGATCTTAAGCTTTTGCTAGAATTAAATTGAAATGTCAAATTTGACATTTATTCCAGATAAAAGAGGAGGCATTAAATCAAGCTAAGACTTTGACACTTGCGCTGCACAATTCAGCCAGCATGAAGTTGCCGGCGAAGACAGATATCAAGCTGTCAAGCATTTCAGATGTCAAGAGCGCGTCGACCATTTTGTTCATTTTTATAACAGCGTTGCGTCGGAGTATTGTTTTTTTTTATCAAGTACGCTTGTTTCATATTTAATATTAATATTTTTTAGCTTTTCGTTATGATTCATTTCTTTTGTGTTTATTTTTTTAATGTCCGTTCAAGTTTATTCGCTTTGGCTTCTTGATTACGCGCCTATTTAGTTCTTATTTTAATTTTAGGGTTATGTTTTAGGATTCTTTTCATTCAAAGATCATTTTAGTCTAGCTTAGATTTTATACAATGTTTTAGTTATAATTGTGTTTTAAAAAATTATTTACGCTTACGTTTTACGCATAGGGTTACATTTTATCATACAGTTACATATTTATAGGGTTTGGTTACGATCTTAACCTTAATTCAGTGGAAGCTAACTGAAACTCAACAAAAGCAAATAGAAGGTTCAGTAAATGAAATAAAATTGAAACACTTTTGATGTTATAATACTAAATCGAAATACTTCATGTCTTGGAATTGACATATATATTTCGTTTTTTCTGCAATATTTGCTATGAGGGAACAAGATATATTGTATTTTAACGTAATATATTGTCTAAGGTAAAGGCTATCATCTTGGTATGAGACAATATAATAATCATAATAATAATAATACTTGTTTGGCTGTGATAATAATGATCTTGACAGGTTTTAGCTGTCAAAGTTATGAATCCAATACATTTCAACTTGACGGCTAACTTCTATTTCGTCGCCAACTTCATGCTGGCTGAAATGTGCAAATGACAAAATTCTTAGCCTGATTTAAGGTGGTGTAGATAAAAGTGTTTTTACATTGAACTTAAACAAGACTATATAAAATATATTAAAGCTTTATAAATATATATTAAAACATATTTATTAGTTTTTCAAAGCATATAAATTAAAGTTCTCTTTAACTTTTTAAAGCTATCGTAAATTTGTTCACAATAAATTTAAAAAAAATTGTCTGTAAACTAAACGTCGAAAATGTCCGAAGAAACAAATTTACAAACAACAGTAAAAATTGAACCACTCGATTATCCTCAAGTCAAACAAGAATTTGATTATTGTCCAGAAGTGGAACAAGAATTTGATGATTGTGATAATATTTGTCCGGAGAAAGATGAAATATATTTACAGCGATTTCTAAAATCTGAGGTAGCAATTGAGGAAAAAATAAAGCAAGAAACGATTGATGAGCAAGATGCAGTCACAAAAAGAACAAACTTAGATGAAAAAGCTTATTTATGTGATAAAAAAGAAGTTTCAGAAAAGCAAGTTTATAAATGTGAAATATGCAACATAATATTCTCAACAAAACAAATGTTAAGCCAACATGAAATGATCCATGCCGAAGAACGCCTTTTTAAATGTGAAATATGCAATAAAGCATTCACAAGAAAATATACATTAAACCTACATGAAAGGATCCACACTGGAGAAGGCCTTTTTAACTGTAAAATATGCAATAAAGCATTCCCAAGAAAACATTCATTAAATTTACATGAAAGGGTCCACACTGGAGAACGCCCCCACGAATGTAAAACATGCAATAAAAGATTTTCGGAATTGAGTAATTTAAAAAAACATTTGTTACTGCATACTGGAGAACGTCCTTATGAATGCGAGATATGCAGCAAAACATTTGCAAGTAAGCAGGCATTAAACCTACATGAAATGATCCACACCGGCGAAGGCAATTTCAAATGTGAAATTTGCAATAAAGCATTCACAAGAAAGCAGACATTAAATCGACATGAAAGGATCCACACTGGAGATTGTCTTTATAAATGTGTCACATGTAATAAAATATTTGTGACAAAATATAAATTAAATCGACATGAAATTGTTCATACAAAAGAAGACCCTTACAAATGTGAGACGTGCGGTGAAACATATAAGTCGAAACAGGCATTTAAAGAACATGAAAATACTCATTGAAATATTGAAAAAAAAATTATATATTAGATGTTAAAGTCTTGGATTTGTAAATATTTGGTAGAGCTTCGAATAAAGAATCCAAGTAATAAAGAACAAAGTTTTTTAAAAAAACATTTCTTTGTTTATTTACTGTCGATGTTTCGGAACTAGATACATTCCACCTTCAGGACATCTGTCAAGAAACATGATCTTGATAAGATTTAAGCAAATAATATGTTTAAGAAAAGCAGAAGATTGTGTTTTTTTTATATAAAATTAATAAAATAGTGGAAAAAATAATATACATAAATATGATAATATAATAAAAATGAAAATTATAAAAATACTTGAGTTGATTATATAACAAAATACTAAAAATGTTAAAAATTAGAAAGTTTTACAAAGTTTTAAGAAAAGGTTACTGAAAAAACAGTGTTAATTACCTGTATAATTGATTATACACTAACACTTTACTGAACTACACGTTACTGAAAAAACAGTATTAATTACCTGTATGATTGATTATACACTAACACTTTTTCACTAAAAAAGATTTTATCAAAAATTTATAAAATCACTTTTTTTGATAAAATTGTAATAAATTGTTTTTTTTTTTTGTCAACATAAGCAGAAAGTTATTAATTAATAAATTATTAATGATGATTAAATCATATAATATACTTGTGCAATATATAAATAATATATATTTAATTATATAAAATTATAGTTATTATTATACATATACATACAAATATATAATTATTCAAAATACATAAGTATAAATGTATATATCTTCTGTTTTATTAAAAATGTTTTAATTTATCAAGACGCGCGGCGAGCAAGGTTGAGCAATGAATGAGAGATACTTCCTCATGTTTTTTCTACTTTTGAATGTGTTCTACCACATGAAATAAAACAAAATTTTGCACACTGAAAGAAAATTCAATAGTCTTTCAATAGAATAATTCTAATGATGCTAATTAAAAATTAGTTCAAACAACTGCATTATACCCAAAAATTCAAAACAAAAAATTATTTTCACTTTTTCATGCACTGAAAAATAATTATTAAACAATATTTGTTATTAATAATGTACTACATTAGGGAACGTAGCAATAAATGTAAAATATATGAGAAGACATTCACAGATTCAAGCAATGCTTATTTATCTAGGGATTCAAGTACCTTGAATGAACATATGAATACTCACATTGTAGATCGTCCACACGAATGTAAAATATGCAAGAAGGCATTCATATATTCCTATAGCTTGAAAAGACATATGTTGATTCACAGTATGGGGAACGACAATATTACCACAAATGTAAAATATGCAATAAAACATTTATACAATGAAGTCATTTAAATAGACATATGATCATTCAAATTGGGGATGGTTCCCATGAATGCAAAATATGCAACCTTGCATTCAGACTATCGAGTCATTCAAGTCCACATCAATGAGTAATTATAAATCCATAGAAAAAAGAAAAGTATAAATAATCAATAATGGATTTACATACCCCTGAACTGACACATGACTGCTGATAGATATAATAATAATAGATATAATAATAATAAATAAACACCAGGTTTTATATTCAGGTTTCATATCAAATTGATTAAACGTTTTTATTATGTAACGGATTTATGTGATCTTTAAATAAAATGTAAATTTTGAATGTGGCGCTTTTTACTTTTTCTTTATTCTTTTTAATTAATTTATTTATAGCCCGGTCAATTTAAACCTAAACTTTACCTACTGTAATTTCTAATGGGCTATAACTTGACAAAATTGTTTAAAATACAATTATAAAAGAAATCTCAAAAGTCGTCATCGATCCAATGCGAGCAAAATAAAATGGCACAAAGTCAAAGGTAAACAATGACCCTTTTGAAATTTTTAGCTAAATGGTCAGTCTTATCGCAAAATTACTTGAGACAATATTATAGAACATAAAATTATCCACAAAAAATGCATCAATACTTTCTTTGCTCAGAGCCACCGTTTTAAAGATACATATATCACTTTGAAAAGTACGTTTAAACCTACGGGGTAGTGTGCTAAGCTCGTTTTTTTAACTTCTTGTTATTGTAATCGTCCAAAAATCGAAATGGAAAGTTTTTACATTTCTCGACGTTTTGATGGTTTCTGAAAATTTTGAAATAAAAATGGATGTGTGTGTATGTGTATGTATGTATGGATACAATTTTTCGTCCGCGTTTTCGGGCGCACGGATCAACCGATTTGAATGGTTCAAAAAAAAAAAAAAAATCGATTCCTACTGATAGGGAGATGTGCTGATTAGTTTTTGGCAAAGGCAGGTTCAGCCGTTTCGGAGATACGGAGCAAAGTGTGCAGAAAATAGAAATCAAGTTTTTGAGAGAACAGAGCATCCGATTTGAATGATCCAAAACACATTCAATTTATAATGACGGGAATAACTGGTTTTTAGTTTTTGGCAGAGGCAGGTCCAGCGGTTTCGTAGATACAGAGCTAAATGTGCAAAAAATGGCAGTTTTTGAGTGAACTAAGCATCCGATTTGAATGATTCAAAGATCTTTCTGCTTGTTTTAACAAAATAATTACTTTTGGAAAAAAAATTTTTGTTTAATTTTTTTTTCAAAAAAAATTATGTTTAATTTTTTTTTTCAAAAAAAAATTTTTTTTCAGAAATTTTTTTTTCAATTTTTTTTTTTGTATATCGAAAATAATTCAGATTTCATTTTTAATTCTGACTAAGTTCTAATATACTTTAAACAGATATTTTCAACTTTACAATTCAGTTTATATAATTCTTATAAATATTATACAATGCTACAGTATTTATAATGATCTATTTGAAAACATTTAATATTCCTCGAACATTTCGTTACGGTACGGGAAGTTCCAGCAATTTGCCTTAAGGCACGATGCCATACACACCACTAGTTTTACACGTTTTCTCAGTAGGCCTATTTCACAGTGGGTCTATTGTGATTTTGTTTGTTTCGGAACATTTGCAAAATAATCTTTGGGTTGATTGTTGACAACTAATTTATTCCTGAAAAATTTATTTCATTTTTTATTCACCTTTTTTTAAACAATTTTTTTTTTTTGTATATCGAAAATAATTCAGATTTTAATTATAATTCTGGCTAAAGTTCTAAAGATCACTTATTTATACTCTAAATAAACTAGTTGTGTATGGCATTGTACCTCAAGACAAATGCTGGAACTTTCTGTAACGCAACGAAATGCTCGAGAAATATATTAAATGTTTTCATATAGATTATTATAATTATAAATACTGTAACATTATCTAATATTTATAAGAATTATATAAACTGAATTACAAAGTTAAAATTATTTATTTAAAGTATGTAAGTGAGCTTTAGAACTTTAGCCAGAATTAAAATTAAAATCTCACATATTCTCGATATACAAAAAAAATTTTTTGAAAAAAAAATTTTTTGAATTTGTTTTTTCCAAAAGGAATTATTTTGTGAAAACAGGCAGAAAGTTTTTTGAATAATTCAAATCAGATGCTTCATTCTCTCAAAAACTCGATTTCTATTTTCTGAACTTTTTGCTCCATATCTCCGGAACGGATTAACCTGCCTTTGCCAAAAACTAATCAGCACATCTCCCCATCAATAGGAATCGAATGTTTTTGAACCATTCAAATCGGTTTGTGGGTATTTCCACTATATATTTCTTCTAAAACAACTCAATAATATAATATAATATTTATTGTATACATACAATTGCATAAATACAGTAGTATATATGATCAGTGTTGTTGCTTAGTCTTGAACCTGGATTTTATCTTTTTCCGGGTCCTAGAGGCTGGTCCGTTCCCAACTGCGGCGAATGCGATAAAGAGATCGATTATCGTAGGTAGGTCCGTTTTATACTCTGACCAGCAATCCCCACTAGTTCACTGGCCAGTTGTGCGTCTCACTCTTGCGCGAATATTACAGGCGCCATCCTGTGGTATTTAGGTTCAAGATATATGGGGTGCGCCATCTGGTCGCCACAGGTTGATTAGTCGCCCGAAAACGTGGACGAAAAAATGCGGCCGTGCAATCCTCTGGCCTGTGTTATTCAAACATTCAGCCAGAATATTGCAGCCTCTGGCCTGTGTCATTCAAACAAGAGCTCATTTTTGTATGCCTAAATACTAATACTGTACACTCGCCAGTTATAATTTTTGACCCAGTCTAGACATTGCAGCGGAACAGTAAACAAGTATACTCAATCATTGCTGTATTTGTAATAGTTTGAAGATATAATATATTTTTTTTTTATTTATTATTTAATAGACCATTAGAAGACAATGTTTCCATAAGCCTATGTGATAATGTTATATTTGGCGTTTAGAGGTCTTCTCCATTGAAGAGATTCTCTGCTAGAATTATTCTTTGACCATTTCTTCTTGAGTCTTCTTGTTTGAACCATTTTGTTGATGATTTGTATTTCAGCGTTCGAATGATCATCAATTTTGTTGTGGTAAGAACAGCTCCGGGTCTTTATAATTTCATTTACTTTTTTATGTTCCAGGTCCCTGTGGATGGTCTAGTTAGTTACGTACCAAGGCACATCTACAATTGCCCTTAATATTTTGTTCTGGGTACGCTGTATAATTTTTATGTTTGATGCACTTGCACATCCCCATAATTCTATTCCGTAGCTCCATATTGGCAGTAGTACGGTTTTGTATATTAAAGTCTTGTTTGCGTATGACATTATCGATTTTCTGCCAATTAGCCAGTACAATTAGGTATTTGAATTTTTTGAAGTAAAACTTCTTTAGGCGCCACATGGGTGTAAAAACTTCTTTAGGCGCGACATGGGTGTAAATCCGTACAAATGCAACGAAAACGCCAACGTGAAGTTGAAGACTACGACGCTAGTAAGCGCATCTATCGCAATTATTCGATCTATTCTGCGAGCAAAACAAAAAATACATCAAATGTCAAATCATATGTCAAAAACAAAACAAAATGTGTCGACTTTCTCTTGAGTTTTGTATTTAGCCTCTATATTAGTAGTCTCTAAACATTTTTTGAAGTAAAACTTCTTTAGGCGCGACATGGGTTAGCAGTATAATTCGTGAGTTAATAAAAATGTCAGGATCGGAAGAATATTTTATCCCGTCCCCCATAAATAATTGTAGTGCAAATGACCGCAAATAAATAACGAAACAAAGGAAAAATCTGCGCTGCGTAAGAAATGTAAGTTCATTGAAGTAATTTGTATTATTCGAGTTTTTCGAGGTTACTATATACCTTTGAGGTTATTACTAAAATGGAAAATTTTATTTTTATTTTTATATGCAAGACAGATACTACAGTTGCTCAAAGAATGAAACTGTATCGCCAGTCAGTTACTGCCAATTTATTAGAAAATATTGAGCCAGGTATAATTTTAGATGTTCATAAGTAAGAATCTTTTTGAAATCTAAGAAACGCTTCAACTATTCACATTCAAACATATTATTCTGTTATCTTTTTAGATGAAAGTACTGCTGTTACTTTTTCTGATACAGCAACTACATCACGTAAATTGCAAATTGATGATTCTGCATATAATGTGACAAGAACTGATCTTTTGCAAGAGTCAAATGAAGTATTTGCACTTCTATATAAAGACTTTAATTTGTTTAGGAATGCACGAAAATTGTTTGAAAAACAATTTAGAAATGATAGCTTTGGCTATGTATGCTTTGTGTGTGATCGACTTTGGTTTCAAAGTGACTTAAAAATATCAAATGATGCTCAAAAACAAATTCTTGATAATGATTTTCTGAATATTGATTCAAATAATCAGGTTGGATGTCAAACTTGTCGAAAGGCATTAAATTTGGATAAAATTCCCACTTTGTGTAAATTTAACGGGTTTGTATTTCTACCTATACCAAATTATCTACCTAAACTAGATACAGTCCTGAAAGGTTAATTTCACTTAGGTTGTGTTTCATGCAAATTATACGATTGCGACATGCAAATAGACAATTTGGAATATTTGGCCAAATTATAAGACGTTAATAGTATGGTTAATTTATTACCTCGTAATATTGATGATGATCATTGCATTAACGTTCACATAAAAAAGCAAATGATTCATAGATCAAGCTATGTGCAGGGCTTGATAAATAAAACCAATATAAAAGTATGGCTTCAATTTGTTAGGCAAGACGGATATTACAGTTGTTCAAGGAATGAGATTATATCGTCAGTGAAAAAGTAAAAAAATACAAATAGTAAATGAATGTATGTTAATTTTAATTACATGAAGTTCTTCAAACACAAATGTTACAGGATGAGTTAATTTGCAAAAACAATATTTGTTTAGGCGTTGTTTAACATAATCCACTGTGTGAATGAATATTATAGAATTTATTAATCAGCAATTACTTTAAAACGATCATGTCATATTTCAAGTACGACTTTGATTACATTATTGTTTGTAAATATTATACATATTTTTAATGTAATCATAAATATATAATTTATAATTTATCATTATATAAATGTGTATAATGATTGACGACACTAATAAATGTGTGCATCACGAGTGTTACCATATTACTAATAAACATTATTCAAAATTTTTATATGATGTATTTACTTTTACTCAACTTAAATTTGCTACTTTATACAGTAGCAAATAAGTTTTACTTCAATCGCGTGTGATCCTTACGCGCACTCATTTTTTTTTTTTTTTAATGGAAAGATCATATATAAGTTTTATAACAAAGTTTTTTTCTTTTTTTTTTCTCGCAATAATTAAAAAGTTATACCAAATTAAAATTTGAGTTTGAATTCGGTATCGAAGAGCGCCGACAAATCCCGAACGAAGCCAAGTGCGTGTGACGTCATACTGTTACGGGTGATTCATAGCAGTATACAGCTTTGAACATGCGCTATGCTTTGAGCTTTGTATAATATCGTTCTGTCATTGTTATATTCAAAAATATATAAAAAATGTCAAATGTAAAATGTTATCGCTGTTGTTTTGTACCATTATGTACAAATACGAATGAAAAAGTTTGATTTTCTCAGACCTCATGCGGTTGTTAATCATAATATGGTACCTTTCACAGACTTCATTGTTATCATCGCAGCAGCACTAATGAATTTACAAAAACCTATAATTTATAATAAGTTAAATTTAGAAGAATAAGAAGAAGAATATTTAAGAACATTTTCATGACAAAAGAAATGGCTAAATGTATATTTCATATATTTATTATTTTATTTATTTATTATACATTTATAGTTTATTGCATTTGTATCATATCATCAAAATATATTGAATAATAACTAATTAAGACTTTAACTTTATTAACTTTGTACAGAGTTGAACAGCTTTGGGTATATATTTTGGGACCAGAATACTATACATTTTTTAATGAGATCTTGAGTGTTTGCATCATCATATTTCAATACGCTAACATAAATTTTTTGATTGTCTTCAAAGTTTTGATCGGCAACACAAAAGATTCCCTTTCTTTTACCTGTCATTAACAATTGCAGTTGCATTTGAGCATTACACTTTAAGCTTATTTTGCCCTTCGGCAAAAAATTGTACCACGCGTTTTTTGTGACATATATTATATCGAAGATGAGCGTGATTTTTGACTCATTAATTTACATTACATTAACAATTGTTAATGTAACTAAATAGGCTTTGCTTCAAACTCGATTTTCTGGAGATACACGTGCTTTTAAAATACAAATTTCATTTTTACGACTAAGTTGAGCATAACCCACAGCTTTGTCGCCGTAACTTTCACGCGATGCTCTAAAATTAATTTATTAGGTAATTATATTCAATATAAAATAATACTTAAATATTGTGATTTATAATATTTTTTAACAGACTTATTACATCAATGCCTTGGCGTCTCGAACTTCCGCAGAATTAAACCGAACATCATTTTTTAAAAGTTCGGCTACCATAAATATATCAATATTAGAAACATTATCAGAATTTGCTTTTATAAATCCTTTATCACACATAGTTGAACTAAATTAACTTCAACAAATTGTTTTTAAAGGAAAATTTACCACGTGTTTATCAAGTTCCGTAAAATATAGTCGTAAGCACTGCACTAACAGAGTAACGGCACTGCGCTGTTATGAGGTTGCAATTACAATCTGCTTGAATTTTTTCATCGTTTGTTTGCTCTTTTGTTTGATATAGAGATCCCATGTGAGTCTACGGTCTAGATGTAGTCCTAAATAATCAATGCTGGTACTAGGAGGAATTTCGATGTTATTTATAAATACGGCCTCACAGTTTTGAGTTCTCATTGTAAACGTGATATGTTTTGGTTTGTCTTCATTTATACTTATTTTCCATTCTTTGAGCCATTCTTCAAGTGTGAATAGATGTTCTTGAAAGTTTAGAGATGCGATTACTGGATCTTGATGTGTTGCCATGATCATTGCATCATCCGCGAATGTACCCGTGATTGTGTTGTTATGTGTTGGTAAGTCGTGCGTATATATTGTGTATAAAACTAGTCCTAATACACTACCGTGTGGTACTCCCGATTTTATTGGGTGAAAATCTGATACTGCATCTCTTACTCTTGTCCTGAAGTATCTACCACTCAAGAATGACTTCAGTATTTTATATAATTGATTTGGTAAGCACTTTTTAATTTTAGATATCAACCCATCATGCCACACTCTATCGAATGCTTGTTTTACGTCGATAAATACCGCAGAGCAATACTCACTGTCTTCAAAAGCTTTGTGAATGATTGAAGTTATCCTGTGAGCCTGTTGTATAGTGGAGTGAGATTGTCTAAAACCAAATTGATGATCTGGTATCGCGGTAAGATTTTCTTGGATTCTTACTAGTAATATTTTTTTTAATAGTTTAGATATAACCGGTTGAAGACTAATTGGTCTGTATGAATTAACCATATGACTAGGTTTACCTTGTTTTTGTAACATTTTTATTTCAGAGTTCTTTAGGTCCTTTGGCCAATATCCCAAACGTCGCACTCCATTGAATATATAAGTCAGCATTATTAGACCTTTTCTTGGTAGTTCATTCAAAATTTTAGCATGCAATTGATCAATTCCTGGACAATTCTTGTTATTTAAAAGTGAAATTTGTCTTTTAATTTCTTCTGGTGTAACCTGTTTATTTAAATTTACTGATGGTAACCAGCTCCTTACTATAACTACCCTATGGGAAGTAAATAATTTTAACTTTGCAATTTAGTTGATATAATTCTTATAAATATTAGAATATGTTACAATATTTAAAATCTATTTGGAAACATCTAATATTCCTCGAACATTTCGTTACGGTATGGGAAGTTCCAGCAATGTGCTTTAAGGCATGATGCCATACACAACTAGTTAATATTTTTATTTGTAATTTACAATTTACAATTCTAGGGTAATACATGTTAAGCTGTGCTATAGTATTAATGTAATTTTTTTTTAACTTTATGAAGGAAAATTTGCTAATTTTATTTTTACTCAACACTTCAAGTCATTCTGAATTATTTGGCCCTAAGTTTAGAAAAAATTGGGCGTTTGTATGTGGCCCAAATTTGGACATTTCGGCCACCTTTTTTTTCAATAAAAAAATCAATAAAAAATGGCTGAACTGATAGATTTCAAAAACTTAGAAGCCCTTCGATGTAACTCCGCAAGGACATGTTTGCCAGTTGTGTGACGATCAGCCGAGCCATTTCTTTGTTATTAGCAAAAAAGTGGAAAATTGATTGGGGGAAAATTTTGAATCGATTTTAAAAATTAAAAAACTGTTCGAAAAATATTGGTTGGAAATCGAGTTGGTTATTTGTAAATAAATGTTGAACAAACTATTGTTGACGATCTTGATGAAACTTTGTATGATAATAGAATTCGTGGTCTGAAATAACACACTAAAATATTATAAGCATACGATGAGTGCTCTCATACTCTTCTTTTATCTAATAAAATGTGAAAAAAAAAACATTTGGCGGTCAAAAATGATCATTGATGGATATATGCACATCATATTATTATATTTTTTAAAAATGTAAAAACTCCTAAATCTAATAAAAAAGTGAAAAGCAAACATTTGGCGGTCAAAAATGATCATTGATGGATATATGCACATCATATTAATATATTTTTCAAAAATGTAAAAACTTTTAAAATAGTTTTTTTTAAAAAAAATCTTGTTTTTGATACGGGAAGTACCAGCATTTTGCTTTGACACTATGTCATGCACAACGAACGAATATGAACAAGCAAGAATTGCGTACCAGAACGAACGGCAACGAGCATAGTGTAACGCCACAACAAACACGAACGAACACAAACAAACATGGCGAGAAATGTTCCGCAACTTGTCCGCAACTTGTCGGTACATCAAAGAGAATTCTTCGTTCATGTTTGAACTCGTATGTGCAGTGTGGACGCTACCACGAATGCAGACAAACATTTTTCATTTGTGATGTTAAAATGTGCAGTCCTCCATTAGTTTATGTTGTGTTTATTATAAGATATTGCTGTTACAGATAAATTTTGTAAATTTGATGACTTTAAATAATTTTTCACTGACGTTTCACGGTACATCCTCGAACAAAAAAATTCAAGCCCTCACTGCTTTGAGGCGTTTGTTTGGAATGATTTGCTTTTGTTCGTGTTCGTGTTTGTTCTTCTTTGTATTTTCTTGTTCGTCATGTTCGTTCGTTAGGTGTGGATGCACCTTAAGTCAATAATTAATCTATAAAAAATATTCTTCTGTTGGCGACAATGACATTAGTGTGCCGCCAAGCCGCCATGTTCAGTTCGTTTAACGAAGTTCTTCAAACTGTCAAACAAATTATTTACTGAACGAACATATTAGTTTTCATTTATTTAATTATTCAACAGAGTGATTGATTAAATGTTATAATAAATATATTGCATAGATATAAATGTATAATTATTAGTGTGTATTAAAGTGCAGTGCATGTGACATTGATTGATTAACATAAAGGTAGTGTAAAATACTTTAGGGTTATTTCACGTGATTAACTTTTTCTTATATTTATTTCAAACAGAAAGAGTTGTAAATTTTTATTTTTAAAAATAGGGTGCAGAGTATAATAAAAAGACGAATGTACCTTTTTATATTTCAGCTCTGCAATAAGCCAACAGTTTGGAACAAATAGTTGACTCAAGTTCACAGTCTGTCAAATATATTTTGAGGAAGGAATTATCTTGGCGACATACATTGTTCAAAATTGACTACTCACTAATTATTGACTAATTAGCTACAGTTAATTTAATGTAAGAATAGATAAAAAAAACTTGCTTGAGAAATATCCCAGACAGCACAAGACATGCCAGGGAATGTCCCACTTGTCCTCACAATCTCCTAATATCGCGATATCCTATGAATATCCTATGAATATGCAACGGGACGTCCCAAAACCAAAGGTCTCGAGCAGGTATAACGAACGGTTCACGAACATGAGGCTCTCATACGCGCACGGCTTGAGACCTCGAAACGTATGTGTTTGTCCCTTTCTCTTTCGTCGCGTCGGTTTTGCGTCCTTTAAGGTTAAGCTAAGCGTCATCGTCATCAAACAGACGCTTATATGTCGAATTATCATAGTTTTTTTAGTAATTGAGTAATAATAGTGAAAATTTTATTTGTTTTATATAATTATATGAGCGTGTGTTATAAATAATTAATATTATTTATCAAAATACTCTAAAATTGAGTAATAATAGTGGAAATTTTATGTGTTCTATATAATTATATGTGCGTGTGTGTTATAAATATTGCAGCAACATATTGAAGGGGGGGCAGATATAAACGATGGTAATTAAAGCTTTCTGTATACTGTTATTTGAAATACTATGTTACTAGTACAAATAGAATTTTTAATTTAATGCTGACATTTCTACCCTGCCAGCTTATCCAGCAACCATGCCTAATTTTGTATCAAATGCTGTGTTTGAAAGAGGATTGACAAAGAAGAAATGCTCTCCACTATGTTTGTTGGAGGAGCTTCAACTTGTGGAGGCTATATTACTGAGCAAAGATATCAAAACACAATTGGTAATCAAAAGTTTATATAGATTTATTTTTATTTGTTAACTTTATCATATACTAAACAAACTTTCTCTTTAGATTCTGTATTTAGCCATCAGAGTCCAGCTATAAAAATCTATTTTTGATGATGGTTTGGCCAAAGAATTTTGCTAGGGACGAGGAAAGGGCAAAAATAAATTTTGTGATCTAGTGCCTTGCGATGTCGTCACAGGTAATTTATATATCTTATACTTATGATGTGTTGTAAATTATGAATAAAACTAATATATAATTAATTCTAGGAATTGCTTTGAAAAATTTGCCGCATGAGACATAGTTTGCTGTTTCAGAGGCTGCAAAAAGCTGGCTGCGACGAGCCAATAAATATTATACAAGGTATTTTTGTGAGATGTGTACTATATGTTTTTTTTATTTACAAAAAAATCATGATTATTGACTGGTTAGTTGTATCAATGTTAGTGCAAAATTTGTGCTGTGTACACATTTTTAGATGTAAAAAACCAAGTTTAATATTCACTCGTAATGACATCAAATTGTGTCGATATATTTGGAATTAGAGATTATTTTATAAATCTCTGTCTATTTTGATTGATGTATCGCTCTTAAAGAACTTACGCATATATATATATATATATATATATATATATATATATACATATATATGCATTTATTCATTTGTTTTCTATTTCAGGAGAGAAAATCAACCATGAACTAGGATTGAATGCCGAATTAATTATATTTTTAATATTGTAAAATAAGTTATTTTGAATTAAAGTTGTATATATTAAATTTTGTTATAAAATTATCTCAGGATTTTGTAATAAAAGTTTACTTTGTGAAATTGTGTTCTTTTATTTTATTTTTAATCCAAATTTATTTTTCATCTAAAAAGTAAAAAACAATTCCATAATTATATCCTATTCATGTCCGGTTTATGTCCGGAATATCCCGCGCGGGATATCCCACAGAACGTCCCATAGGTGCGACATATTAACATGTTTCGGATAAGGTCAGGATAAGCGGGATATCCGTAAGGCTATCGCAGGGACAATGAATGTCCGCGCGTGGATATCCTGTGGACGTTTTCCAGGATGTCTTGTGTTGTCTGGGATGTTATGTTTTTAGTTTAGATTTAGTTTTAAGTTGTTTGCTTCACTTTCACTGGAGATCTATCTGGTTCGATTAGAATCAAACTATTTTATGACTCGAAAATGAAGGCAAGGTATACTAAAAAGATGATAGATAAATAGAAGCTTGTGATCCACTATGATGCTGCCGAACTTTATTAAATTAGTACACTTTGTTTATATTGTCAAAGCACCAGATATAATTAGATAATGGTTATATCATACTGATTAAAAGATTTAGTGTTAATAATTACCTTTCTTGTAGGGTAAGTTATAGTAATTGCAAAAAAATCGAAAATGAAAATTTTTATATATCTTTACATTTCAAAGGTTTCTGAACATTTTGGCATACTTTAAAAAAAATGGTATGTATGTGTGTGTGTGTGTGTGAGTGCGGATACAAAATTTTGTCGACGAATTCGGGAACACGGATCAACGGATTTGAATAATTTGAAAAAAAATCGATTTGTATTGATAAGTAGATGTACTGATTAGTTTTTGGCATAGGCAGGTGTAGCCGTTTTGAAGATACTGGGTAAAAAGAATAAATAATGGTGATACAGTTTTTGAGAGAACGAAGCGTCCAATTTGTATAATACAAAAAACATTTTACTTCTTTTGAATAAACAAAGAACTGTTCAATGTTTTGGAAAGGTAGGTTCAGCGGTTGTGGACTCTCAATAAAAATAAGTTAAAAAAATGCCATTTGGCAGTCAAAAATGCTCATTGGACATATGCACATCAAATTATTAGATATTTTATAGCGATTTGAATAATGTGAACCAATTTGTAATGTTTGTTATCCTTTTTATATTGGCGAAAGTCCCAACACATTTACAAGAGAATGAATCAACATATATATAATTCTAAAAATTGACTAGTGTTGTATGGCATTGTGCCTTAAGGCAAATTGCTAGAACTTTCCATACTGTAATAAAATATTCGAAGAATATTAAATGTTTTCAAAAAAATTAATAGTTATTAATATATTAATAGTTTTTAAGGCGTTTTATAGTGAGGAATGAATTTTAATTTAGCATCGAAGTCTTGAGAGCTGCTTCATCTTAATATTTGTTGTAGACTCTAACATGTCGGCGAGGAAGCACGCAGGAGACGAGGACTATACTTCGAACGAAGAGTTGGGCCGTGGAAGGAGGAAGAGAAAGGAAGTTGTGCTCACATCAGAGCCATCGTGTACGTCTGATGATGAAGGTAATAAAGGAGTAAAATTTTAAATCATAAATTACATTCTATTATGTAAAAATAATAATATAATTATTATTATGTAGATGTTGCTGTATATGAAGTCAAATCAAATTTAGGTACTAAAGTCAGAGGTAAATGTAAAATGCAGTAATTATGTGTAAATGTTCCGAATTATTATGTATTAAATTGTATTTTGCAAAGCAGTTTTAGCTTCAGAGGTAAATTCTGATAACACAGAAATAGAATACACCTACGCTCCGGAGGCAGAAATCACCCGCATTCCAGTGGAGTACAATTCATCGCCCAGGGTAGAACCCATCATAAGTATGGGAACTCAAAGGCAAAATACCTTAAATGCAAGTACCCTAGTGGAAGATCTAGCCAGATTGCAAGGTTAGTATATATATATATATATATATATATATATATATATATATACAGGGCCGGTCCTGTATAATATTATCCCCCCCTATTAATTTTAACTGTTTATCATTAAAATTATACAAATACTTGCATATTTTCAAAAAAATAATTTTTAATTATTCTGAATTTAGTACACAAAATATTAAATATATATATCAGTGTGTTTAAGTCTTGTGTAGTCGTAACATCTACAAATATCTTCCAAAAAAATCGAGTGTTTTTAACAAAAAAATATTAGTGATATGGATATATAAATTATTACAGAATAAACCTGATGATGGAACGTACCTAGTTCCGAAACGTCGTATTAAACATCTTCAAAAAACAAATTGTTTTTTATTATTGGATTTACTGTTCGGAAAAGAAACAATCAATATATTGAAAAAATCCAGGACTTATCTATTGAATATATATATATATATATATACGAGGTCTGTTCAAAAAGTACCCGGAATTTTCGTTTTTTCAAAAAAATATTTATTTATTCGTCTACATTAATGTGGTCCCCTTCAAAGTAGTCCCCCCCAGATATAATACACTTATGCCAGCGTTTTTTCCAATTTTCGAAGCACCCTTGATATTCACTTTTTGATATGTCCTTGAGCACTCTCGGCGATTTTCTTCAATCGAGGAAAACCGCCGTCCTTTCATGGGTCTCTTCAACTTTGGGAATAGGAAAAGTCACACGGAGCCATATCTGGTGAATTTTTGCACTTTGCAACACTTTATTTCATTTTTTACGCAAAATTTAATACAAATTCTTTGACTTTTTCAATTCTTCCATTGTAAAAATCGCCGAGCTCAGAAAAACACGTCGAACCTTAGCGACTACCACAGACAAAGTAAACAGTGAATATAGCTGAAAATTTCATCATACTTTAGGGGCATGTATACCAACACAATAAAAAAAAAATTTTGACAATCAGACACTCCAGACCCGCGAAATTTAATTATTAGTAATTCCGGGTACTTTTTGAACACACCTCGTATATGTATATATATATGATAAAATTGTTTCTTGGTTTGGTTTCTTTGGTTTCTTTTATTTCACCATGTGAAGAAAAACCTCTCGCTTTATATATATATATATATATATACTAGCTGACCCGGCAAACGCTGTTTTGCCATCAAAAATATTTTTCCGCATTGCAAAAGTTCTTATAATATACATGATATATTAATAATAATGTTACATTTTTATTACACGAATTTCTTTACATTTTGATAATTAATTCGAACGCATCATAGTGCTTTGTTTATTTTAATTTTATTTATGTCAAATAGTGAAATATTTTTAATCAATGAATAAATTAGATTTTAGTCTGAATCATCGCAGTACCATTATCTAAATATATAATTTTTATATAAATATCAGATTTTTACTTTTGCATTTAATTTAAAAATATTGAATGTCAATTTCAAATATCCAATATGCACTAAATTTTTAAATGCCAAAATATTTCCTTTTTGGTTCGAAATTTAATATAATATGATATAATTTATATCTATAATTTGATTGCCAATATTGCCTATAACATAACTTGGAATAATTAATTTATTTGTATCTTATTGAAGTTCACTTAAGCAAATTAAATCTTAATCATAAATCAATTTATTCATAAATTTCCCAGAATATTAACAAACGTCATTTTCGGCATTTGTTTCAAATTCGTAACCGCCCAAATTTATTTAAATTTGATAAATTTTATTATTCTGTATCTTAAATATGATTTGTAATATAAGTTGGAATAATTAATGTATTTGTTCTTATTTGAATTTGTTAAAAATATTAATTCTTTTGACCTGTCAAAATTTTGTTTAAATTTATAAACATTATATATTTCTATTATTTTTAATATAGCATTTTACCTAATTTGGATATAACTGTTGGATATATTACAATATATCTGTTCCTTTTTCAATAAGTATTAAATAATATATTTTTAGAATTGTCAATTTTTTTTTTCAGAAATCATAAATTGTTTTTTCTCGAAGTTTCCATAAATATTGACATTTGTCATTTTAGTGTTTTGTTTTTTTTTTAGTAAATTTTTGTCAAAATTTATGGAAATTTATAAAAAAATATAAAACTAAATAAATATTTCCTTCTTGGTCGAAATTTAATATAATATGATATAATATATTTTTCAATAATGTTTTGTATCTACAATATTGCCTATAACAAAACTTGGAATAATTAATGTATTTGTTTCTTATTGAAGTCGTTAAAAATTCAATTTTTCTGAACTGTCAAAATTTTGTTTATTATTAATATTAAATTTAATATGTCGTTTTTTTATTGTGATCTATGATGTTTTGAGGAAGTTTTGGTATTCGAATTAATTTCGTAAGCAAATCAAAATATAATTATAAATCTATTTATCTAATAATTTGTATAAATATTGTCAAATGTCAATTCACGTTTTTTTAATGTCAACTTTTATTTAAATTTATAAGCATTGATTTTTAATTAGATTTAAAACTATAAACAGTAATTTTGAATCTAGCATTTCATCAAATTTAGATTTAAATGTTGGATATTTCTATATATGTACATGTTTTTGAATTTTATTTTTTGAAATGTCAAATTTTTTTTTCAAAAATTATATATCGAAATTTCCTTAAATTTTGACATTTGTCATTTTAGTGTTTTGTTTTTTTTTTGGTCATTTTCTGTCAAAATTTTTAGAAATTTATAAAAATTATATATTTATATTTTAAATTTACTTTTCAAAATTTCCTATAACCTAAGTTGGATATACATGCACACGGTGAGCCAATAAAATTTAAAATCGGTCCAGTAGTTTGGGCGTCCATCGCGAACCAACATCGTGACACGAGATTTATATATATATAGATAATCTAAAAGCGTATAAAATATATTCATTTTAAATTTATTTAGAAAATCGAGGCGATTCTCGGGTTGATTATAATCAAATATTTTTACATTTACAATTATTTTTAACGTATGTGCAATTATAATATTTGGGTTTTAAAACATTTTACTTATTTATTATGTGATATATTCTATTGAGCAAATCATGCCAAGAGAGCTAAAAAAACTAGCTTTCCATTTTCAATCATAACACTCGTATTACATGTTGGATTTTTTAAATTTTAATTGAATTTAATTTTTCATCATTTACAATATCCAAAATTGCGTCGTAAACTTCTCCTTATTGATATTGTAAGAGCCGAATTGTATTCATCCTTGCTGTCCCATCATATTTAGAGTAGCAGTTTGTTGTTTTAAAGTTAAATTTTTAAAGTATTTTAGAAGTATTGTCCAAAAATCAGTAAAAACTGCAAAGAAATTACACATTTCTTAAACTATATTGAAAAAAAAAACTTATCATATTTGATATGTATTATTTCTGCCTAGTTAAAAATTCAGAGTATGGACACCACTAGGTATAAAAAAAGCCTTAAGATTTCCTTTCCAAAGTAAATTTTGCCTCCATTTTTCATATTTGTACCATTTCCATAACCCTAACCACGCATATCTTCAACATTCAAAATTCATCAGATAGGAAATATTTGCAACAAAAGCAAAAGTTACAATACAATTTCTCGGAATAAACATGCCATCAAAGCTCTGACTCCTCGATTATAATTTGTTTATATTTTTAACAAGTTCCGTATCAACTAAATCAGCTCGCAATTTTTCGTCAATAATGCCCAATAATTAATTTAAAATTTCGCAGGTTTGCGCTTATGGGATTGAAAACTAGATAATTTCTTTCTTGATTCCACGGTAACTTCAAACAAAAAAAATGAATAAGTAGATTAAGCAATAAACAGAGCTGTTATTTACTAATTCGCAGAGTTATTAATCGATTAATTGTCTCTAGTAGAGTCTACTGATATCACATTGCAAAATCAATATGCTTTTTGTACCTTTGTATTCCTAGTTAAGTTAGATTGTTTATTATAATTTATTAAGTATTCTAGGTTTTATATAAATAATTCTAGATTTATATAAAAAATTATAAATAATATATTATAAATTTAATTTTCGAAACTCGTTTTGGCGCCCCCTAAGGCGTGCGCCCGCATTTTTTGCATGCATTGCATGCAAGGCAGGACAGGCCCTGTATATATATATATATATATATATATATATACACATAATTAATTTAATGATAATTGTTGAATGCAAATATTATAGAGAGTGTTGATGCAATCAATGACACTCTGACGGTCATTGTGCGTTACATTCAAAATGGGCCAGTCTTTAACGACACATCAAAGACGAGCAATTGAGGTGCACAAGAAAAATCTCGTATTGCCATTGAAGACAATTGACGAGTTGAATTAATGAAGAATCTGAAGAATCTTGCCTGATATTTCTAAGAATTAGCTAGAATTCAAATTCAAATTCAAATTATTTTCAATGTACAAAAAAATTGTAAATTAATTTTTTTTTTGACATTTTGAAATAAAAAAAATCTGCTCTTTATAAAAATATTGGTTTAGTCAATACAAGCAAAAAGTTTTCTGAATAATTCAAATCGAATGCGTAGTTATCTCAAAATCTGCAATTTTTTGCACATTTAGTTCTATATCTCCGAAACGGCTGGACCTGCCTTTGCAAAAATCTAATTACCACTTCTCCCGACCATTACAAATCGAATGCTTTTCAGAACATTCAAATCGGTTGATCCGTTCTCTTAAAAACCGACATTTTTAGTACTTTTTGCGCCATATCTCTGAAGCCGCTCGACCTGTCTACGTCAAAAACTAATCAGCACGTCTCCTTATTAATAAAAATCGAATTTTTTTGAACTATTTAAATCGGTTACTCCGTACACTCGGAATCGTCGACGAAAAATTGTCTCCACACATACAAACACGCACATCCATTTTTTCTGAGGTATGCCAATATGTTCAGAAACCTCTAAAACGTGAAGATATTTACTTACCCTATGGGAAGTTTAAAAGTGTGTCAACTGTAATCAGTTCTAGGAATAGATTTCGATTAAAACCGCTCCAGCTGCATCGCCCGCTAATCGTAGGCAATATTTAGTATATAGATAGGAAATCTATCGTCATACAAAGTTTCATCAAAATCGTTAAACTATTCAAAGTACCAAAAACTAATCAAAGCGATTCCCAACTAATATCTTTAAAATAGTTTTTGAATTTCTAGATTGTATCAACATTCTGGACAAGAATGAAAATGTTTACTTTTTTGCTAATAACAAGGAAACGGCTTGACCGACCGTCGCGCAAAAGTTATAAACGTTGGTCTTTATAGAGTTACATCGGATGGCTTTTAAATTTTTGACATCGGTCGCCAGTCACTTTTGATAAAATTAGCAAAACGGATTTTTTTTGCGCCTTCGGGAAAAGTTAATACACAGTTGAATATTTCATCTCAGCGCTTGAATCTTAATTTTTGCTAGTTAAGTCAATTATTTGCACGTATCGGAAGTTCATACAACTTGCCTTAAGGCCACTTGCAACTACAGTATTTCGAAAATTTCGATTTTTTTTTTTTTAAACTGTGCCTTTATACCAAATAAGAACGCTCGAGATCTATTAGAACGTTTTCGCGGTGGTACGGATTCATTCGGAAGGACTCGCTAATTTTCGGTATCCCTTGTGTTAATGGTTGCCAAATTCTGTTGAGTCTATGGGTATGAACGAAGTATGGTCTACGAAATGCGTAGTCTTTACGTTTTATGAAGAATTCGGCGAATTCGGAAGTTGTTCTGCGGAATACGTATGTTTAATAGCAAGTGCGAAAATTACGAAATATTATTACGATATATTATTATTTGTTTCAAAAGAACATCGTGTAATTATTGTTTAATAATGAGTAGAAAAGTAGCGTTTTGTGTTGTTTTATTTCCCAATGATACAAGTGGCAATAAGAGTATCGATGTAGTGCCGGTAGATTGGTTAATATATAATGAAGAAGAAGATTCGATTGCCCATTTTTAAATAGTTTTGAGCTATTTACTTTAAATTTAGGAGAGAATTTACTTCTTCTTTAAGATTTAGTGAAACGTCGGGCACCAGCGCCAGATAATTGGATGTGGATGTACGAGGTTATGCGAGTAGGTATTATTGTTCAACTTTTGTTATACACATGTATATATATATATATATATATATATATGTGTGTGTAAATATGTATATATATATATATATATATATATATATTTGATTTGTGTTGTAATTTCAGATACATATCAAAATGCTTTAGAAAAGCTTAAAATATTGAAGCATAAAGAATATGCGTTTTCAACTGACCATGAGGAAACAATAAACAAAAGGCAAGATGTTTAAAAAATACAATCCCGCTAAAAGGGCGTTTTGTAAATCAGAGTAACATCGATCAACAATTGTCGGAATGTAATATCAATTTGGGCAATAAGTCGCGCAATGCTTCAAGTAAGTGTATTCTTGCTAGCAATTCATCGTGTATTTTTCTTTTTATTATTATTCAATAATTTAATTTTAATTTTAATTTTTTATTTTTTTAGTGTTCTATTTTTAATTAAAAATAAACTATTTTAGAATAGGTAAATAGTGAAAACTTTTGTGTCATTGTTATTACTCTTTTTAAAGTATCTTTTTTCTGTGTGAATTTCTTTCATTTTTAATTGATACAATTCTCTAATAATAAAGTAATTATTAAAATATTCTTTATAATTATAAAAGTTTTTCCGAATATTTTAACAATTACTTATATTATATAATTTGCCTTATTATAACTACTGGTGTATAATCTTTTTTCCGACTATTAATTTCATTAAAAATTATATTTTTTGTTAATATATTTTTATACATCTTTCCACCATACAAAGCAGCATCTTTTTCAGCAAGCCGACCTGCTTCGAAGCAAATAATATCGATGACTCTAATTGTTCCCTATGTAATCAAGGAGCATATTGTAAGTACTATACGAAATTAAGTGTCTAGTATGTACATACAAAAATATTCAGAATTGATGTGCTGTAATTTCAAGATGTATTACTTTCAATATATTTCAAATATGCAATATAACCAATAATTATATTTTCTCTAGAATTATTTTATTTTATTCACAGATGGAAACGAATTCAACTCTTTCAAATCTTTTGTAGGAGATTGTTATCATAAATTATCCCAGCAAATCGGAACAATGCAAGGGGAGTTATTAAAATTACAAGGATTAGTGGCTAATATGGGAACTAACCCCGTTGTCACATTTGATGAAGAACACAGTCTAGTTATACCATTCAAAAATTTGTAAGACTTTCAATCATTTAATGAAAATCTGAAAAAGAATGAGTTTTTAAGAAAATTCGTGAGTATTATTTATTTATTTATATAGAATCAGTTTTGTGTAGTAAATAGTAAAGAAAATGACATTATCTCACGGAAAACATTTTTTCTGATCCATAAAATTTTTAAAAAAAGATTTAAAAATTGTTAAAAAAGTGCAGAAAAGATTCACTAATAAAGAAGTTTTAAAACATTTCACAGCGCCTAAGCCTACATCAAATAAATTAATACTGAAAGACGCTGAACTTGTGAAGTGTTTATACGGTATGTATTATTCACACTGTACACTTCTACATGGATGATTTTCTTATTTATGGTTATACATTTTCTTACACGTATAATGACAGCAGAATCAATTAAAAATCCGCGGTTGAGCCCTATTAAAGAGCAAACATTTAATCAAGCCCTCGGGAAGGTTTTAAACTATTTAAGTCCAAGATGTCAATAAAAGTTAATAAAATATCACATAATTAACATTTGTTATTTATTATTGTTATATATTAAAATAATGTTATAATAACTCTAGCTCTTAATCAGAAACTAGAAACCATCAAACAGCTAAAAATAAAATTTTTGTTTCTTGTAGAAATGTTTTTTCTATATCATTTGTTGTTTTAAAGTAAAATTTTTAATGCATTAATGCTTTAACGTTCATCTGCCATACATGTACCGTATCATATATTATCTTAATTTCTGGCACCTCTCAGCTGCTTTTTGCCAATAATTCATGAATTTATTATACATGCTCTAATTGTTTCTAGGTTCATAAGTAAATTGAAATTTTTGTCAGATGACAGTTTTCATTCATTTGCTTAACAATGTCTCAAATATTTTCAATGGCAAACATGTCGTTTTATGCATTTTTTTCCATTTCTATAATATTACTATATTTTTATAATCACATACATCATAAACATTTTTTTTAGCAATCTTCAGAAAGATTTATCAAAATCCGAATAATGGTTTAGGAGGAGTATATTTACATACATCATTACAGAAGAATTTTATATATAAGATATAAAATAAAAACCTTATTTTTTCAATTTTTTTTAATTTAAAATAAACTGCAAAAATTGCTCTGCATATCGTACATTGGACAAACAAAACAAAAATTATGTGGTGCATGACATCATGACTAAAGGAAAAAATGAAATTTTTGGGAATTTTGTAATTTTGGATTTTTTTTTAATATTATTGAAAATGATCACTAGACACATGCACGTCAAATTATCAGATATATTTAAGTATGAATTTCGTTTATATTTCTATGCGTTCCTTACATAGACTTTATATTACATGTAATATAAGGTCTATTGTTCCGTACCAATGTTTATCCATTATTCTCGCGGCGCTTACGCGCTTTGATATTTCTTCTCTAAAACAGCCACGCAGCACTATTGCCTTGAAAAAAAGTTCAAAATTTTCAAAAATTTTCGAATAAAATTTCTAATTTTTAAAAATGTAATATTTTCCTAAAAATTTAAAACAGTCATTTTTTCGAAATTTTCAAAAAATTTTAAAGTTTTTTTTGAAAATTTGGAAGTTCCAGCAATTTGTTTTAGGACACGATGTCATGCACTACTAGTTAACTTAACGTTAATGATTAATAAATAAAGAAATAATGAAATTTTCTTATTCTTATGTTGGCAACAATGACATGATTGCGACGCCATTTCAGTTCGTTTAACGAAGTTCTTCTAACTGTCAAACAAATTGTTTAATGGACTGATCGAACATTTTTGTTTTCATTTATTTAATTATTGAACAGAGTTATTGATTAAATGTTGTAATAAATATATTACATAAACATAAATGCATAATTATTAGTGTGTATTAAAGTGCAGTGAATGTAAGATTGATTGATTAACATAAAGGTAGTGTAAAATACTTTAAGGTTATTTCACATGATTAACTTTTCTTATATTTATTTCATACAGACAGAATTGGAAATATTTAATTTTAAATAGAGGGCGCAAAGTATAATAAAA